CTGCCCCCAAAAAAAAAAAAAAAAAAAAAAAAAAATATGAACAACTAGCTAAATATGTACTAATTGGATAGAAAAAAAAAAAAAAACTTCAAATTTTCAACACGGCAAAATGGAAATGAAACACCTGAATGTGTGCAATGGCGGGTGGTTACTCATTTTTATCCATTTAGAAGAAGGGAAGGGATGAGAGTTGTATAAATATAAATGGCTCACTTACCTAATTCGATGGGATAGGTAATTCTCCTGCGTCTCAGTATTTTTCCTCCTCATCCAGGGGGCCATTTCATTTGCCTTTTGGCCAGGATATGTAAATGCAGGTAGTAAACGGACTGGCAGGCTTCAGGGCCGTTGTTCACGACGAGGCGGAAGTCACCCAAGTTGTTCTTCCTTACAATTTCGGAGACCTTCCAGGGGGAGGGAGGGGATAAATTAGTACGTCGTGAGGTGCAGGCCATAGGGGAGACATCACACGGAGAGAGGTCAGACGGGGTGGGAAGCCATTTGTCGCCCCTTAATTGCTCCGCGTTTATATCTTACCGCCCACATCATGTGACCCAGGATATCTTTGTGCCTCTCCTCCGCCTTGCTGAGCCTCGTCAGCCCATCCCTCATTTTGGGGATGACGAGGATGTGCACGGGGGCCTGCGGGTTGATGTCGTTAAAGGCGAGGACCTGCAGGGGGAGGGGGGTAGCAGCGGGTGATGCACCGTAGCGTGGACGTCGCAGGTGGTACGGCATATATATATGCGACACCAGGGAGGAGTACCTTGTCGTCTTCGTACACGAGGTCCACCTTCACTTCCTTCCTTGCGATTTTTCCTACAGTATAGGTGCAGGTGTTACGTGGTCGTCTCATTTCAAGCGGTGTGTTGTCGCTCAGTTAAGGCGATGGGTGGTCGCTTCTGGCTTCCTCTTCAGCGACTTACCAAAAATGGAGTCGCCGTTCTCGTCTTTCCCGGCAACCGCAAGTGCTCTCTCTTCCTCGTCCGCCATTTTTCCTAGCCTTCGGTTTACAGCTCTTCTGCAAAGGGGGAGGCGGCATGTGATGGTGTGCTAGCACAAGAGGGAAGCCCCTTAATGAGTGGTAAGTCCCCACTCTTGAAATGAGGATATATACATGGTCGTCGCCACTGGCATGTACAAACAACTTTGTCCCCTCTCTCCGTGCTAGACTTACGTGAGGTGCTTGTTCCTATATGCTAGTTTGGTGAAACAATTAAATGCGAAGTTTCGAATGTTGAATGGGATGGTTCCACCGGAGGTTCTCATAAAGCAGAGAAGAGCTGCACAAGGGGGGGGGGAATAAGTGGATATGGGCGACGTGGACGGGGTGCACACGTGGGTGGGTCGCTCCTCACACGGGTGGCTCCGCACGTGAGTCTCACGTATGTCGCTCGTGCTGGAGGGGGTATATACTATCATGGACGTTGTCACTGGGGAAAGGAGGTCTCAACCGGTTTAGGGTTTCCCCCTCTCTATCCACCTCGTAACAAATCGAAATGGGTTCCCTTACGGATGCATAAAAGAAAATGGGGGAAGTTCATGTAGCTGCGGGATCCGGGTTACAAGTGGGATGACGGAGTTGAAGTGTACTACATATGTGTTAGTTGTTGGGGAGTCACTACATTGGGTGCTTCTCCTTACCCTTGCGGAGTTACGTTGTTGTGTATTTTTTTTTTTTTTTTTTTTTTTTTACCCCTTGTTCTTCTCCCGTGTGGCTTTTTTGCCCACCCAGTAGATTATTGCACGGGTGTATCGCCGGCGTGAATTTTGCACCTCGCGCGGGGACAGGGGCGCTCCACGAAACACACTCTCTCGACTCAGTTGGGCCTACACTTTTCTACCGTTGTCAATAATACAAAAGGGAAGAAGAAGCCCAAGTCGCTCTCTTATGGAAGCACACAACACGTGGCTTACCCCACTCATATGTGCATCAGCTCATTTGTTTTTTTTTTTTTTTTTCTCCCGTTGTGGATGTGATAGTGGAAGGACACAGCGGGGGAGCGTTGGCTTATTTTTTTTTTGGGGGGGGGGATAGTGTTATATACACTACACGGAAAAGAGAAAAAAAAAGGCGAGGTAGGCCACGGTGTTGTGTGATATGTGCCCTTGTTTCTATTACCATATTAATGATGCGACCGTGTCCCCTTTTTTTTTTTTTCTGTATCCCCCTTTTTATATCAAATGGCAACAAAGGCCCCCTGCTCGCAGGCGAGTCGGTCGCCACGACTGAAGCGGGCGCTGTGTGTTAAGTACATAAATTTTTTAAGTTACACAAAAAAAATTAACCTGAAGGGACCCTGGAACAGATATTACGGTTGTTTGTTTCGAACCACAGGACCAGGTGTGACATCCATGAAGGGGTTGGTGAGGAGAACCGTGATGATGCCTCATGGAGGAGGACAGTTAGTACGAAACAAAGACATGTTGTTTGGTAAATTGCTAAGTCATGTACTCTCCAATCCAGTAAAAATCGCATCGTTTGATGTTGATGGTACGTTGATCAACCCCACAGGAGAGAAGCACCCGAACAATGTCCTCATTAGTATGGAAGCATTACACAGCATCATTCTGTTAAAAAAAATACACCAATATAAGGTAGTCGTTTTTTCTAACCAGACGAATGTCTCTTCCCCTTTGTATGACGCTGCTCATGTGGAGCAGAACAAGCTCCCAATCCTCTTCTCCAAAATGGAACAGTTAAATGATGCGCTGCGATACTTTTATGCACTTTATGCAAGTCAGGTGGGGGTTGCACTGAATGGAGGTGGGTACCGTTCAATCGAGCGTCGACTTGGGGAACGCCAACGTGGGAGAGGCCGCCCTGCTCACACAAGCAACTGCGCGGTGAACGCTTTCTTTGCAGTAGGGAAAGGCAATATCGAGGCCCTGGACATGTACCCCAAGCCCAGCGAGGGACAGTATTGCTTGTTCATATGTCTCGAGGGGATCAAATATGCACTCATATTAATGAGTTACTTTGGTAAAGCACACAGGACTCTACTGGAGAGGGAAGTAATGAAGCAGAAGGACAAACCTGTGGCAGATTTCCTTCAACTCGTCCTCGACATGTTAAACAATCCCTTTTTATGTGCCCTGGTGAAGAAGCTTCGCAGGGGTCTATTTCACCTGAACAAGGTCAGGTTATATGTGTTGGATGTGTACATAAATGCCCTGTTGCACAAGATGGAGTTATACACTCGCTTTGGCAGGGATCACCCTGGGTATGCGCCCTACATAGAGTTTTTTTTGAGTGATGCAGAGTGGGGTAACTGCTATGCTGGTCGTGTTGGCGTGGTACCCCCTTCCCCGGAGCTTCTCCGTGACGAGATTTTTCTGGTCCACCTGACCCGCTGCCTGGCGCGCAAAAACGAAATCATGAAGCGCCTCGCGTCCACCTTCTCCAGTGTGCTCTTTAATTTTAAGGAGAGCTTTTACGCGGGGGACAACGTCGGCCGGGACTTTGACAAATCGGACGTGGACTTCCAGGTAGGTGTGCGTGTGTGCCCATAGCCACGTAGTTGTGCGTGTGTACACGCATATGTACAGGCATATGTGCACGCACAAGTACACACACATGTACACCCCCCCCCTTTTATCTGCCCTGTTAGTTTGCCGCACGGGCTGGGATGAGACTCCTGGATGATGGACAAGTACGCCAGATGGGTGGCCCCAAAGAGGGATGAAGACGGGCTGCGCACCTTTTGCTTCCCATTCGTTTGCGCGTTTGCATGTGCGTTCGCTTGTAAGCCCATTTGTACGTCCACGTGTACACCCGCGTGCACGCCCATTTGTTAATTTTTTTTTTTTTTTTTTTTTTTTTTTGTTGTAAATTTCCAAACTTCACCTGGAGCTGTTGCAAAAATACATTATTATGTTCCACGTTGGATAAGTGATAAAGACAGGCTTAGGGAACAGGCAACTCATCGACTCTTCCCGCATAGCCGACACAGGATGTGAATACTTCCTCGAACAGTTGTTGAGGTGCCAAGGCTGCTGACCAAAACACACACATGTGCTTTGTCCCCCCCCCTTTTGGGGTAGAGGAACAGAATGCCTTTCGCGTGCACGTTATATCCCCCTAATGTAAAAGCGTGTAACCACCTCAACACACCATGGGGACGCAACAGAGGCATCGCACATTTGAGTGCACATAATAATACTATTGGGAAAGGGATAGAGACCTCACACAGGAAACGAGGTAGCTAGAGGTGATTGATATAGGGGGGGTTGGTCGGCACTTGTGAGAGGAAGCTCTATTCCTGCTCAGTCTGTTCGTCACTCCGATGGGCTTACGCACCCTGCATGTGTGATGTGTGTTCTCCAAGTAAATCTTTACACGCAGGACGAGGTGCGATCTCCTCCTTTTAATTTTTCCCCCAAGCGAGGAAATGATTGTGAGCCAAGTCGGGTGCACTTAATAAGGAGATGATCTGCTAGCCATTTACCAGTTGTGCATGCGTACATGTGAAAATTTTTTTTTTTTTTTTTTTTTGCACACCTTGCTATCGTCTTCTCCGACTCCATTACATTAAAGGGGCAAGCAAAAAAAAAAAATAAATAAATAAATAAAGGCACCCCGAGAATGCACCCTCCGCCATGGTGCATTAACGTTAACGGTGCAAGTCCAGAATAGGTAGAGTTAATCTTGTGCATGTGGAACTTCCGGGGGTGGGTAATCTCTCCCCCGTGTGTATGCTTCCCAACTGGGGGCGGAGGGGGGTAGATCGATCTGGTGCTCGCTTGGCGAGGGTAGTGGGGTGGGGGTGTGAAGCAAAAGTTGTTTCCATGTGAGGTGTATACACTCTCCCGCTTGTCAGGCCCTTTGTCGATCCCTTTTGTAATTGACTTTTAGCTTGTGTGCAAATGTGTATTTGTACACCCCTGCTCTTCATCTCTCCCCCTTGGGCTAACCAGGGATGGTTTTTAATATGCCTCCTTTTCGCAAAGACTGATTGCTTGCGAAGCTGGTTGAGCTGGAAGCAGGGCAGGACACACAAGCAGGACACTCGAGCAGGACACACTAGCAGCACACACAAACAGGCCCACTCAGGAGGGCGACTCACCGGGCCAACTGAGAGCACGCTTCCCAATTACACCCACGTCCCAATTACACCCGTTTCATCACCCCCACACAGATGTATCACCTGTGCAACAAAAAAAAAAAAATTAAGTTACCCCCCGTGAGGCATAGTGGGGTATGGCCTCCACAAACAGCCACTCGTCGCATGCCTGATTTCGCTGCGACGATTTAAAGAATTAACAGGACGTCCCCATTTCCGTTAACACGTGCCTCAGGGGAGAATATGGACGCGCACGTTTTTTCGTCACTGCGTGGGGGCACAGCTAGACTTAAACAAAAAAACACATATATATACGCATACATATACATATACATAGGTGTAGTGGCTCCCCCGGACACAACGTTAGGCGAACTCTCCTTGAGGTGACTCCCCTTGAACGAGTTGTCACACGCCTAACGTTGAGCTTAACCCAAACGGGGGGGAGGGGCAGCTCCTCCACGATGATGCAGTATCCAGCAGGCGCGAGCCTCTTCGCGGGTGGCACAGATCAAAGTGGCCGCAGCGACGGCAGCGGCAGCGGCAGCGACGGCAGCGACGACCGAATGGATGTTGACATGGGAAAAGACATGCACGTGTGCGTAAAGAGCACCATGATGGAGCCACCTATCCCCACGCATGACACAGAACCGGTGAAGAGTCACACGAAACATGTGCAGGCGAAAGACGAAGCTGCTATAGACACATCAAGCGCAAGGAATGCAAATGTGCTGTGTGAGCATGGGAAGGGACACATGAGCAAAAGTGTGGAGGAGGGGGTTAATACAGGAAGCGTTGTAGAGCGGGGAGAGGAGGATATTTTGTTGAGTCTCCTCAAGATGAAGGACCTAGTGGCAGACCACATTATACAGAAAGGAAAGAATGAAAAATGTTATATGGATCAGATAAACGACTCGAAGAATTATTTGAGACAGACAATGGAACAAGAGAGTAGGAATGAAGATTCTTCAAAAATGTTTCGATGTGGGTCAGAGTATAATGGTTATTCGCAATTGCTCGATTCAGGATTAGCATTTACTCATGTCAAGGTAGTAAGTGGAGTGATGATACATACGTTCAAATGTTTCCGTCATGTGGAGTGTGTTGGGGGGGAAGCATTTGTTCTTACCACAGGGAGTAAATCATTATATACTGAAATATTTATTAAAGGTAATCTTTGTATATTAAAAAAGGAACCCATGTTACAAAATGTGAATTGTGTGGTGAAGCGTTACCAATGGACTTTTTTTGAAAATTGCTACAATGTACGCTCTGGAAGGAACAGAGCCATCGCCATGGGCTACAAATATTTTAATTCTAGTACGAGCGCAAGAAGATATGTGCGAAATTTTATTTGTGGTATGAAAAAGAGGTGCATCAGTCGATTACGGGTAATAAATTATAAAGGCACGAAAAACACGTGGATCGAATTTAACTCTACTTACCATGAAAAGAATTGCCTGTTCTACAGACCCTGGGAATGGGACAACGAGGAGAGGAGTAGGACAAAAAAGAGTGGGGGCAATGGATTCAACAAACTCGCAAGTCATGGCAAAGAAAAAAAAAGGAACACCCGTGATGGAGGAGGGGGCATGGAACGACCTGCTGAAATGATGAAAGAAAATCAAATGGCCTTTTATAACAATCCGGTCATTTCTACCAGTTGCAAAATAACCCATGGGAGGAGTTCCTTCGAGCAAGATTTAAGAAGCGGTGCGGAACAGTTAAATGCAACGTCTAACTGGGGAAACGACAACGGTGTGACGGTCCTGCTTGAGCATGCTGCTCAAACTACTTATCGTGGTCAGGCTGCTTATGGTGGCCACAGGGCAGCTGACGCACAAAACAACTTCACGTTGATCCCTCCAAGCCTGAATCGCCAACTGGGTGCAGTTACAAACCGTTACTCCCAAGTGTACCCCTGCAACGGAAGTGGCGGCCCCCCCAATATGAGTCAACCCAATCAGGTCAGACCAGTACCCGCATCTGGCCAAGGTCTTGCCACGCGTTATCATAGGGGAGCCCACCTAAATGGAAAGGATGCTTATGCAAAGGACGCATGTGGAAAGGACGCGTATGCGAAGGTTTTTCTCCCAAGTGGAGAGTGTCAACGGGAAGGCGAAACCCTAAGAAAACATGGTCCGCGTGGCACTACCGGCATGTATAGAATCTACAATGGAGTAGACACCACGAGGTTGTTGCCCCTGGAAAAGGAGAATGGCCCAAAGGAATACCCCTCCATGGGTAGCGGCAATATACAAGGAGAGGTGGACCCCAGCGTGTGTAAACGCGTGAGCAGTGGCGCCATCAATGAGAGACTGCTCAGCACAAGGACAAGGGGACAGAAAAAAAAAAAAAAAATGATAATTGAAGAGATCAGGGGGGAAGCGACGAGAGATCGATGAACTGTACATGTGGGCAGCCCCTCTGCGGAGGCCCTTTGTGGAGACCCTCTCCGGAAGGGGAAGAGAAGGGACATCTTAAACACACGTGACGAACAAATCCCCCACGCACAACATGAGACGTAACGGCACCCTGCGTGTATTGGCGAATATAGACCTTCCTCCTGTAAATGCTACACATATATATATATATATATATATATATATATGTTTGGTGATCTTATTTATACTTCCCCATGGATCCTTGCAATGGATTAGAGAAAGCAGTTACGTGGGGAAAAAAACTAGGCGCTCGTTTACCCTCCCCCTGCACCTGACCAAGTGAACAGCTTACGCAAAAAAAAAAAAAAAAAAAAAAACAGGGAAGCTTTTTTTAACATCACACAACCTCTTCACAAACTAATGAAAACAAAAGAGGAGCTGCCGCCAACTACAAATAATGGACTATGGCAGCAACTGGTGAGAATGGACCGTGTGCGACGAATCAAAACAGCATGGGCAGAGTAGACGTATATCCTGGATTAGTAAATCGCTGCGTTCCCTCAGCTAGCTATTTTTCTGCGAAGCACGCACATAAAAAGAAATAAGAAAATCACCTGAACAGGACATAAAAAAAAAAAAAAAAAAAATACACATAGCCATGTACCCACCCCACCATACACACACCACATACATACCACCCACAATTCGTGTAAACTGATTGTTACAGGACAACCTTTTTTTTTAACAATTCACTTTTGCGCGAGCTCACGTGTGGATGGAAATTTGGCCTCGCTTTAACCACAAAAGAATTTTCCCCAGCTTGCATTCACAGAGCATAGATTAATGAGCAGAATTAAAACAAAACCCTGATTTCTTGTCAGTTGAAAGAGTATTGTTTTGCTACTCTTACAACTGCGCAATTGATGATGTGATGACCACTTGTGAATTGAAGACGTTCACGACAATTCACAGCAGTTGTTTTGTTTTTCGTAGTTTCATTTAATAATTTTTTTTTTTTTTTTTTTTTTCCACTTGCGCAAATGCGTTCTGGAGAAGAGCTTAATTTAAACGTGCTTGATGTTTGTGACCTGGTCGCCTTTTGCACAGCTCCCTATGGGTTTACGTAGCCTTTTCTCCCCCTTTTGTGATACCAATTTTTTTTTTTCCTTATGCACGGCTTACTGATTTATGTCCCTCATAAGGCGCCTTATTTTGTCACTTCACGCTTATGTTGGTTGCACAGAGGGGGCGAGGTGGCTTGAATATGTAAGTGTATCCACCGGTAGTTAACACGTGTCCCCCCCACGTAATTAAACGCGATGACACCCATACACCTTCATGCACATGCGGCTGACGGTGGGAATGCTCCACTTGTGCCGCAGTTTGGTAAAAAGGGGTGTGTGTTAGGGGGGAAGTTTTGCAATGCTCTTTTTTTTTTAAATCGTTTTTTTTTTTTTTTTTTTTT